GGATTCAATTAATTTTACTTTAATTGTCTTGGGTGTTTAAGCTCACACAGTTATCTAGGATCTCTCTGTGGTCAATGCAGGGAGCAAGGCAGCCTTGCAAAGGAAGCTGAGAGGTTCCTGATGCCATGGGTGCTGAAATGATCCCAAATCAGACCAGAATTCAGCAGCAGCCCCTGCCCATTGTGTCTCCTCCCATGTTAGTGCTTCTGACCTGCTTAAGGGAGGGGCTGCCTGCAGGTGCTGCTGCAGATCTGACCCAAGTCCCAGCCACCCCAGGGGGGGCTTTAGGCAGGGGATGAGCCACATGAGTGGCTGCAGCTCCCTAATGTAGAAAGGAAATCTTAGTCATTATTCCTTATGGGAGCTATACACAGCCTCTCACAAACTGAGAAGCCAGTGCACATTTCTAATGCAGTCTCAAAAGTAGATCATTATGAATATCATTTGGTATAAACATAGTCATCAGGGGAATTCAGAATAGATTTATACCAACATTTTAATAAGTTTCATAAGAAAGTGGTTCATCAAATAAAAATAATGAATGATGGAATTAAAGAACCACTGAAAATTGCTAATGTGTTTAATCATCTCAACATCTATATTTATATATGACAAATTTGGATGATATAGTGGGTGTAATTCCATTTCAAGTCTCCAAGCAGAGATTGCATTCCAAGACATTCAACAAAAGAAAAGCCAGAGCTTGCCTGTACACTCTGAAAGCAAAAGCAGGACCCTGTGACCATTTGTGTGAGGGCTCTTGGAAGCCTCCCTGACATCCAGATACTCAGTTAATCAACAAAAGTCATGTGTGAGCTAAAGGAAAAGTAAAGAGGCCAGGGCTATGTAGAAAATAAATAGAATGCACAAAAAAGCTGCAAAGTTCATTAAACCTTGACATTTTTCTATGACCTAGAACCTCACCTGCATGTCCTGCCTATTAACCTGGTCACTTAGCTGTGCTCACAGGCGCCAAATCCAGCAGCTCACACCCAAAGGACTGAGGCAATGCCTTTAACTCAGTTTTTGTGTTGCAGTCCTGGAAACACCCACTCAGCTGCCTCATAGAACTGAGCGTTTCTAAGGACAAAGGATCATAATTTCTGACCTTTTTTACCACATCCTTATAATTATCTTCTCTTTTGCGTTCACTCATAGTACCTCACCTCTCCATCTTCAGCAGGACTACCACACCTTGGGAGCAGAGCCAGTGGTGCAGGGAAAGCACACAGAAGGTACAATTGCCAGAGCAGAGTTCCCTGGCTGGGAATATCCCCTTGCACACTGGCATTAGCCTGTCTCTGCGTCCCTAGGCTGTGTGATGGTGTCACTCACACCACCTCCCTCCAAACCACTTGCCCAAAGGCAACTGTTGTATTTTTTCAGGCAGAAACAGAGCTGAGGACACAAAAGCCCAGCTGGACTGCTAAGACCCTGGTTTGGCAATCATGAGCAAAAATGTCCAGTAGGAAAGGATCTCTAGAAGTAAAAAGATGACATCTCTAAAGAAATATGGCCTTTCTGGGGGACTCTACCCCAAGACCTCCATCCCTTTTTCTCTTTTTTCAGGGGATGGCCCTCTCCTGCCCTGTCCCACCAGCAGGCTGTTTCTTCCTTCTGTCAGCATCTCCCTCTTTCTCCCAGCAGAACACAAGCAGCTGGTTCCAGAACCTCCAACAAAACCTCTTTCAGCTCTGCCTAAAAGAAGTGTCTGAGATGAAAAAAGTCTGCACACAGAAACCTTGAGCAGAGAACCTGGAGCTGTCAAAGACAACGAGGCTGTGTGATGGCCCTATTTATAACTGGCCATATGGCAATTGATTTCCTGTTGCTCACACAGGACATCTCTGTGACTCCAGCCTCTGTGCTTCCCACTTTGCTCTTCTGCCAGGTTTATTTATACTTTTCCCCAGCTCTGAAGGCAAATCAAGTTAATTGCCTATTACATGAGATTAAGCAAAACAACTAAAAGAATAAAGAAATTGAGAATATAATGTTCTGATTACTCTCCATGGGAGCTGGGGAACAGTGGGATAGTTATTCCTGCACAAAGCAAGGAGGTGCCCCCCATTTCCCTGCTGTGTGCAGGGCTGAACAACAAGGCAGGTTTATACCTGTGTTACTGTTCAAATGCTCATTCTTACCCAAAGTTCCACATAACTTTCCATTAAAACTGACATCTCAATTTGAGATGCACTTAACACCCCCAAATCTAAAAAATCATCTTAAAAGACTGCCAATTTTGTAACTGCATGATGCAAGAAATAACAAATTAAATTATTTTTTTTATTGAACACTGTACAATATTAGTCCATTTGGAATAGAGATAAGGAACTAAAGAGCCAAAAAGGCCTTTCCAGTCAATGAGCTAAGATGAAGAGATGCCTGGGGGAAAGAGACAAATTTGGAGTGTAGGAAATGAAAAACAATTAGAAGAATTAAAATAATTGTATTTTCCATGAGGGGAAAATAGAGATATGGGATAAATTACTAAGATGGGTTTCTAGAACAAACAGTGCAGCATTCAAACTGGTAATAATGGGGTTTCAAGTAGAGCTATGAGAAAACCTGCTTAGCGAGCATAAGCCCAACTTAAAAAAATTTCTAATCACAAATTTGGTGAACCTAGGGAGAGGTTAATTAAGACTAGCAGAAACAAAGAGGGCAAGGGCAAGGCCTACTGCAGCAGTTCCCTCCACCCTTTCACTTTTCCAGCAAGTGGAAACAAAAGGCAGCAGCGAGGGAGGTAATGACTGCGGAAAAGGGGGAAAGCAAAGTTACCCTGTCCCCTTGTCCCACACTTAACCCATGTCCCAGGCACACTGAGTGATGCAATCTGCACAGGGCATCTGTGCATGCAAGCATTTTTATGAGCTACCATTCCTTTCAAAACGTGGTGTTGCTTTGCTAATTAGTGAGAAGATAAACATTTCTGACAGATGAAATATATTGTTACCTTGTTAATTGAGCTGCACAGAACCTATTGGTTGAAGTAGTATATTCTCCCTTCCTCTCTAGGGTTGGAGTTCAATTTTTTCATTTTTTGCTTCCTTAAACACTAATAATGAGCTGAGAAACAAAGAACAACCTCCTACAGTGTGGGTGGGGTCCGACTGCTTAAACTGGTTTCCTTCAATATTCCAATCCATTTACCTGCAGATTAAAAGTATGTGCTACTTGTGTCTTTTGTCATCTGCAATTAAAGAATAAAAAATAAACGCTTGAAGGGATTGGAAAAAAAAAGGTCCCAGTGAATGATCCATCATTGTCTAATGCAAATTACGCTCTTCAAAAGCACTCAGTCTTGCTTGTTTTTAAAAGATGGGATGTTGTATTACTACATAGAGTAAACTTCAACCAGGCATCAATGTCTCAATCCCTTCTCTACAAGGATATTAGTCAGAATAGTATGAAATATTATGCACAGCAATACTTACAGCAATAGCCAAGAGTCTGTCTTGAAGACAAAATAGCCCAAATCCCCACAAGTTTGCCAAGACTAAATTCTCTCAGCTAACAGTAGCTGTGGCTGAGTTACCAACAATCAAAACACACCAAAATCCCACGTGCAGCCCCATCAGTTTGTGCCTGGAGCCCAGCACTGCTTTAGAAGGGGCTGCTTTGGGCTGTGCCTGGAGATGCCAGGGGAGAGGGGAGCACCAGTGCCACCAGCTTTGCCATCTGCACAGGCTGCCAGGAGCTCTCACAAGGCATCATCCTCATGGTTCACTGTCATATTTACATTACTGCAAATTCCTTTATCACTCACTAGTCTTTCACTGTGAGCTCATTATTATCATAATTAAGAGGAATATCACACGACTTATTTAATTGAGTCACTACTGCTCCAGCATTTCCAGCTTCATGGCTTCAGCTTATTATTAACCAGGTTATGATGACAAGATTAGCACGCACTTCAAAAGTTATAAAGTCCAAAATCAGAAGACAGACATAGCAAGGGAACCATATATCACTTATTTGTACTTCAAGATTTTAGTTTTGGGAGACTGGGTTAATATTCCTCCTACTGATTTAGGATAAAAAACAGGATAAAGTGTCATGATCCACAGTAGCAAAGCAGAAGTTGAAAACAGAAGGCTCTGTTGTCCTATTTCAGTGATAAGATTAATTGCATTTTCATAAAAATTTTTATGCTCCATTCACCTTATGTCCCTTTGCCTTACCTCCTCTTCCTGAGAGTTTTAATAAATGACTCATCCTTACTAATTCAGCCCTGCCAGCTTTCTTTTGGTACACAATATTTCAGTACTTAATGCAGTATAATAGTCTCCACTAGCCAATTTGATTAGTCATAGCCTCATCTTTGCTTACCATGCTATTTTTCATTTTTTTAGTCATCTGGAATGTATTCTCTTCTCTGGTTCATGCTGTGTTGCTTTGTGTTAGAAATCCTAAACAAGACATACTTTATGTGTGAAATGCTGGAATGGCCTACTATTAACCAAATGCTGCAAGCACTGAGCTTTACACTTTATTTGAACTTTGCTAACAACTTTAAAGCAGCAGCTGCAGCTCCCTGAGCCATTCTGCTCGCTCAGGTACATTTCTGAGAGCCAGACCCACCCCAGCAGCTCACACAGGACCACAACAAAAGAAGTTCCACTGTCCCAAAAGCCTCCAGATCTTCGCTGCCACATCACCTTCAAACTTAAGCCTCATGTTCCTTCAAACATCCCCATTTATTTCAGAAAAGTGCACCTTAGCACTCCCCTCCCCTCTGAGTGCTCCATACCTGTTTCAGATCACCTGTGGGTTCTTTATGATGAAGTTTTGTCATTGAGAAGTCTCAAAGTTTTTGTAGGCTTACTTGAAATTTTCATTAAAAGGTTAGATGGTTATTCTCCCTAGTCACTACTGAAGAAGCAAATGAAGGTGAAAACACCATATTGATGCCTGCAGTACAACATTACTCCCCTTCACCTCTTACAAAAAAAAAAAAATCTAACAATGCTGTGCTATATAAAGAAAAAGCCACATACCGTTTCTCTGAATCCAGTCACTACATCCATTCTGTGTTTCAAGGCTTCTGGAAAAAGGCTGCAAGGATAGAAAGATCTCATCACACTTATCAGGTAGCCAAGTGTTGCCTCCCAAAAATAGTTTCACCTGTTTTAATTGCTTGTTAGTTAAGTCAACCTGCCTTCAGCTGAAAGATTTTTACTGTAATTAAGATAGGCATGGTTACTTAATGCCAAAAAAATGTATCTTATCAGCCTACCACTTTCATTTACAGAATGTGCTATCTCCTCAGTTATAATAGACCAGAGAGATTTTATAATAATTAACCTAAAAAGGCTATTCATAGAAAAGGGCCCAGCTGTGATCTGATTAAAGTAGTCTAAAATCCTTGGGCCAAATTGAAACATCTTGTAAAATATCAATTGACTTAGCACACTTTTTATATTTCTCCCTTCCCTCCACTGTTTTTTGCACTCCAACATACTAATTTTTAAATGAATTTTAGCTTGTTTTTCCCCTGCAAAAAGAGAAAATATTATTGAGTAATGCATTTACATACTAAAACAATAAATATAGACTTTTGGAAAACGTCTGTGAACTGACTATAATTTCATATAGCTGCTATTACATGAGTTCAGACTAAAAATCTTGGTACATTCAATTCTAAGTTGACTTTCACTCTGTATCCCAATGAAATTGAGGGGGTTGTATTTGTGAGTCATTCAGATGACAGCTTGGCCCCAAAGAAGCAAAGAATAAAGATTAAATCTTGATGTGACTGAAGTTAAGGGCAAGGCCCTTCTTGAACCAACTTCAGGCGGTTCAGGATTTCACCCTAGGTCGTGTGGCAGAATTTTAGCCTCTGTTTGAGGAGAAAATGAATTAACTGTCACATGCCAGACAGATGAACACAAAGCAAATTAATCTGTAACCAGAAAACAAGCCACAGGGAGCATCACCATCACACACGGCTCCATACATCACGAGACCTTCTGTTCAACAGGAAGGCTGTGAAGGTGCCTCTTTCTCTCTGGTTCCACCATCCAGAAGCCTCCTCTGAACCAGCTTTGGAGTCATCTCTGCTACCAATTCCTTTTCCAGGAAAGAAGTCTGACTACACCACCTCCCTGTTTCTTGATTAATTAGCAAGCCATTCTGCATACTTACAATATGTGTTACACATAGAAGTGGGCTCTGGCACTGGTCCAGCTCAAAGTGTAGGAAGCTGAGTGAAAAATTCTCACTAGTGATAAAAACAGTTAGGGTAATGGAGCTTTTCAAAAACGAAGAACATTTCATTTTCACTTTACATTTTTCTTCAAAACAGATGGATATTTTGGATGTGAATAAATACTGGAATGTGTTGAAAAATGAGCATATCTTAGTAAAAAACTTTAAAACATTTTGTACTATACAGATTTTTAAAGAATTAAGTCCAAAATTTGTCAGTCCACCTTGGATGACACTGTTAAATATTTTCAAAGAGCTAACACATTTCTCAGAATAGTCTGCCCTGGAATACAACAAATCAGAAATTACTTCCAACACTGTTACCAAAGAAGAAAATCCCATTAAACCTGTATGCCACTCTAGTATGGCAATAAACTTCTAAGAGTAGGGTGAATGCCAAAAATTAGACAACTGGCCATAAAGTATCAGTAAAATCTACTAATGACCAGCATGTGGCAGGGCTGTGGAGCAGGCAGAGTTCCACAAGGCTTCATTTTGCTTGGGTTTCACCTGTCTTTTTACTCTTTCCTCTCCATGTGCATCAAAACGTGTCTGTACTAAGCATTATTTAAATAGATCAAGTTCTGTTTTCTCTCCGTTTGCCTTAGCATTCCTGCAAGCTAAGGAAAATAAATATGGAACCTGGGAGATTATTATGAGAACTCCCACACTCCATTAAATTCTCTCAGGAAAACAAGAAGTGTGATGAGACAAACAGACTGACAAGAATGGTCTAAACCCAGAAATGACTGAGGAAGAGCCAGAGCAAATGGGGAGCCTACAAATCCCATCAGGGTTCATGCCCAGCCCATGCAGGCAGGGCACAGGCTGCAGGTACACACATGGCATGGACACTGCATGGCCTGTGCTGTCTGGCAGGGATTGGGAGGCTGCAAACAGGACCCAGCTCCATCCCTTTACCCCGTCTGGACCTCCCCACCTCTGGAGGATCCTCCAGCAAGCAGCTGTGATCAGACACCAGCTCCTTTGCACCTCACAGGCAACAAAAAGGGGATCAAAAGTGAGGCAGGAAGTCTAGCTGTGGGGCTCTTGTTCACATTTAACATGCCTTTTTCTTTCTGCCCTTTTTTTTTTTATTATTATCATTTTTTTCTTTAACAATGACGGGATTTTTAGAACTGGAGATCCATCCAAATAATGTCAAAAAAGGAAAGATTTTGGTTATAGTCAGTTATCTGGCACTATCTATTTAGAAATGTCTGAACAAATAACTCCGATGTCAGATGTTCTAGTTCTGGCAGAGAAAAGAAATACGATTAGATCTGGCTGCCCAGATGTCCCAACATTGAGAATAATATTTTTAAGCACGAACTCATGTACTGCTGCTGTCATGTACTTCAATAGACTTATTTTGTTCTCATGGGCCATAAATTGTAGTAAAATTGAACCAGATTAATGGTTATAACTGGCCTTTCTTCTGTCAAACATTATTTCAATAGAAAACAGGAGTCTTTATGTGTATAGACTTGAGTTCCTCTTGCCTTGGTAACGTGCAGGTCCTTGTCATTGTACCCTTGCTGAACGATCCAGAAATAAAAGCTTCTAGCTGCTATTTCTTTTCACTTATTTGGTACCACATTTCCTATTGCCATGTGTTTTCTACTTATGTTTATATAAACACAGTTTATATATAAATATACCATCTTATACATTTCTTCATATTGTCATTTTCATTTATTTTCATCTGCTTTCAGTCCTTTTCATTTCTAGGATCACTGAAATGGCAACAACTCCTATCATGCAGTTTTGTCTCTTTTTCAGCTATTTATGTGCTGGTAGTTTGTTGCACCCAAAGCTCTCTGTGCTGATTATGTTGGTGTTTTTGTGTTTATGAAATTTTCACTTTTATTTATAGAAGAAAATGCTTGAACCTCAGTGCCAAAATACATAATTTCCTTTCTTCTGATTTAAAGAAGATAGCTTTATTTGAAAAAGCACTTGAGGATACCTGTTTTTCTGGATGGTTATCTATACTTTTTATACATTAAAAGCAGAGACAAGCTCAAAACATGGAAGTGGGGTGTCTCATTTTTTGCCTAGATCTTGTGCTATTTAAACCTATTTAGAGTTTCAGCTTTATACACCCATCAGAAGTGGACATCAAGAAAGCAGTTTTGACAGTAGGTGAGTGAAACTCTCCAGTAAAAGGTTCCAACCAGATTGCTTTTCCCTGAAATGAACACGCAAAAGGCTCCTTTTGCTCTCTTTAAAATTGTTCACAGGGGCCTCATTATTTGCACAGAGATTTATATAATTGCACCCACTCACATGATTTCAAAAGCTGTGTGTATATAAAAAGGAAGAAAATAAATATTTTAATATTTTATTTCTTCTTAATGTCTAGCAAGAATGTTCAATTACAGCCTCTCTACTTATAAAAATCATACAAAGGTTTCAAGTCTCAGCATGTTCCGGCAGTAAAGTGCAAACAATCTTGTGGTTACAAAGGCTACTTTGCTGAACCTCATTCCTTCTTCTTTCTCTCCCACCAGCTGAATAAATGAGAGACATATTTAGCAGCTTCAGAAGAAACTATTTTCTCATGCTCCCACTAACAAATCAGGGCAAGATATGACAGTAAGTCACGGGATAGGAGCAAAGGATGTAGAGAAAGGAGTAAATTAGAATTGATAAGGGAGGATGAGATAAATAGAGGAAAAACCCAAGCCCAAACACTAAATTCTGAAAGCAGATGATAATGGAGCAGCATATATGTAGGAAACAAGATGGTAGAGCATAAAAAATGAATATATTACAACCTCTTGAAATCAGATTTTTTTCATTCATAATCATATCTGAAGAACAGAAATTACTGGCAATAATATATTTGCTTCTTACCTGCCTTTTTTCCCTATTATTCCAGATTGTTTATCCTGTGCATGGTGACACAGCACAGACAGAAACCTTCAAAATAAGAAAGAGAGCCACAATAAACCCCTATAAGACACCCAGGCACTGACTTGATTAGGAAACCTCACTCATCATGAAGAAAAGCTCCTAAAATCTCACACTAGAGCACAGTATTTCTTATGTTTTGGTTCAGGTTCACACCTAAGCCAGACAAAGCCCTTGCAGACCCTTCCCAGAGGCAGTGTGTGTGCTGGGGGCACCTGCAGCATCACCAGCGTGACAGGGGCCTCCACCCAGCAAAGCCGTGCAGCAAGTGCTCCAAGGAGGGCAGATCTGGGGGCCACTGCCCAGCTTCCTAGAGCTGGTTTCACACATTTGCAGGAGCACAGAGTGAGGCAAAGCCTGCAGCTCCCCACGGGAGCCCCTGCAAGTGCTCTCCAGATGGATGCTGCTGTTCCCTGTGTGGCCCAGGGAGCCTGCCCAGCCCCTCCCCAGCAGCAGATTGCTCTCTGGTACTTGCTCTTTCTGCTGGCAAGGAAGAAAATGACATCTAACATGTTTTGAATTAGAATGACTACAGATTTTCCCCAAAACAGTGCATTTATACATATATATAGAGAGAGATCTCATCCAAAACTGATACAATTCAGGTTTGATTTCTGTGACCTTTTCCACAGGCGACAAACTTCAGACAGAAGACAGGGGGAGGTAGACTGTCCTAATTGCTCCACACACTCACAATTAATCTATAGCCTCACTACCTGGTTTTAATTTGTGGCAGAAGCTGCCTCACCACATCAAAGATAGTGATTCACCTCTCCACTAATCAAAATTTGAAGAGCTACTACCAATAGTAATTAGAGAGCTAAGGCCAGCCATCATGCAATTCAGCATTAATTAAACAATGTTACAGTGGTTTTCATTCAGCTCACAAAGTGCACCAGAAATAGGCAGCACAGGCATCATAGATTTTATCTACCTTTCCAGAAATCTTTTGCTCCTTGTGATTAAGGCCCTCAGTCCCCCAGTAACCACAAAATTCAATCTCCTTTTATTGCTATAAGATGAACAACAGTGAATATTCATAGTCCCTTGAATGGTTCCCCCTTCCAGTAATTATAAAGAAAAAGGGACAGTCCAATTTTTGGATTTCAGCAATTACTTAGTACTTAAAAGGTGACATAACAGACAATATACATTGATACTATAAATCAGTGTCCATCTATTCAGTCAGTTTGTAATTAAGGAAACTTCTTAAAAGCAGATGTACAAGTACTGCTCTTCAGTGATGCTTTCATCTTCAAACATTTAAACAGTTCTTATTTTAACTTTGCTGTTCTGTAGCTGGAAAAAAAACAGTGGTAAAATGGGAAATGGGGTCCATTTTTCATATTCTTGTGAAATAGGCTTGGGTAAAAGAAAGACCAAAATCCTCAGCTTTAATGAACTTACCAAAGTTTTCTGGGGGGACAGCACCTTAAAATCTGGCTCTTGGCATGGATAAGGCTAAGGTTAAAGAAGCAAATAAAAAGAAGTAACAAAAATGTTGATGGTAAAAAAACTCCAGCATGCTAAAAATAGGAAAAGAACTCAACATGATAAAATGAATCCTTGTTTAATCTTTTTCTGCAACCAAAAATTACCATATAATTTGGCAAGAAATAATATTTTAACTCTATACTCAGGATCAAGCCCAAGGCAATGGTGCTAGTCAAAAGCAAGACACAAGGCTGGTTTTATACGGGAATGCTCATTCCTGTGGGTATCTACAGGGGACTACTTCATGAATCACATGCAGGCAAGTGGGGTAAGGGAGTCCTCTGAGACCAAAGTCAAAAGCAAACCCCACAGGATTTCTGTTTGGAACATCTTCCGGTGGCCTGAGCCCTGGAGGTGCTGCTGGATGACATCCTAGCTGAGCAAGCAGAGTACACTGCCATCAACCACCTAATTAAGGTGAAATGTCTGTATTATTAATATGGCAGGACTTCAGGAGACCAGAGCAGCCATATTTCAAACCCATGTTAAGCTCATTTTGGACCTAAGACTGCTTTAATAATGCACTGATTTAATCTGCCAAACGTGCAGCTAGAGCTGCAGTTCTGTGAATGAAAAATCTTCAGCTGTATGTGTCCATGTTCCACACAATTTCTTCCTTTTACCAACCTCTCTTGGTACTTCATATGCCTTAAAAATGGTATGAATGATGTGCATCGGTACTCCAGGGCATCTGGGAATGGCCCTGGTAGTAAAAGGAAGCTTTGCAACAACAAGATGGAGAGGGAACAACATACCATGAAATATGAGCTTCCAAGTCAACCTACATATCATGGTTTGTTTCCTAAGGAAAGGAAAAAACAATTGCAGTGCTCAGCTTCAAATCAAAATATTTCCTTGGTATGCCACCCAGTACAAACTCTGTCAATGTGTAGAAAAAGCAGAAACCTTGGGTAACTGTCAGCAATACATGCAGCACATCGTGCATCTGCCCAAGATAACTCCTCACAGTGTGTTTGGGGTTTTATCCCCTGTGTCCATTTGTCATTATTGTCCATTTCTAAGTTGGTGGCAGGTTGCTACATAGCATGATGCTATCCCTGCCGTTTCTTTCCTTTCTCCTAGGGTATGCACAGTTTTTCCTCATCGTTTTTTAATGGAAAGTCTTTTATCATTTCTGGTAATGTAAGCAAATATCTTCCTAAGACTGTCTTGCACTATTCATACTGGAACAGTAAGTGCCTTTTATCCAGTGTTTTTTTCTGTCACATGGGCTGCACAGCCTCTCTTCTTCCAGTTCTCTTCTACAGAAAATCAGTCTGGAATTAATTAGGATCTACCTCAGGTTTGCTTTCTGATGTAATCAATAGTCATATATAATCACAGGATTTCTTCAGTTGTCTGAGATCAGTACCCCTAGATTTCTTTTATACCATCCAGAATAGTTAGATATGATAGAAAAAACTGGCTTGGGAGAAAGATAATGTTGGATCCCTCATTAGAAGCTTAGTGTCATTGTTGTTCATTAACTTTGTGAAGTACTGACTTGAGCTGAAAGTTCAAGAGTCACAAGCAGCACTAGGATTGGGATTCTAACCCAGCAATCTTCTTGTCAATAAGATTACACAACACTCAACTGCTTCTCCATACAGCACTCAACTTCTCTACATCCATCACAAAGGCAAACCAACGGCAGCCATGGTATGAACCAGCAGTATCCGTGCCTCATTTCTGATGCTTGGCTAGCAAGGATACCAGAATGACCATAAAAAAGCAAATGATAACATATGTTTACATTTTTATCCTGCTCACAGTCGCTGAGCTATGACTCACAAACTTCTGAAAGTACCCTGAGAGACCAGAAACCAAGCCAAGGCTATGCAACAAACAAACATGGGTACGTGATTCTCAGCTCTGCTGGATTTGCCCCCACAGACAGATATACAGAGAGACAGAAGCACATTTCCCACTATTTTCAAAAGTGACTGCCTAGTGGACACCTATATTTCTGAATGTCAAAAGGATACCTGTTTTCTGGGAGCTTTTTCCTCTCCAGTGGTGATTGAAGAGGGCAGGGAGATCTCATCCCCTTCTCCTGTGAGCTCTTCTAATAAAAGTGACTCTGAATTTTTTCCTTTCAGGCCTGATGTGGCAATAAAAGAATGAACATTAGAAATTAAAAAATAATGGAAACCATTGCAAAGCTACAATTTAATTTGCTAAACAGGGTAAAACTGAAGAGAAAGCTTCAATATAAAGAAACTTGGAAGTCTGTGCATCAACATTTGTTACATAAGTGGGTTTTTGAAAATGAGTCATTCTCCAGTATAACTATACAGCAGAGGTAACCCCCATTTCACAAGATCCCATATTTTTAAATTCTTTTTGTGTTTATGTTTTATTTCTTGCATCAATGAGTCATAAGATGCAAGAAATTAATTTAAGGCTTGAAAGCTAAAAGGAAGAGAAGCTGATATGTGTAGTACTGTAGACTCAGATTCTTGTATCTAACTACATAACATATTTTCTTTCCACAGGAGGTAGTTATGACAAATTAGAAGTCTGAAAATTTTCTGATGGTGTAAAGGCTCCAGCTGTCACTAGGGAGATAGTGATCAGATTTCATAGCTGCATGGTCCCATGGCACCACTAAGAGTTCCATATGGTCATCCAAATGTTTCAACTAAACCCACAAAAAAAAATTCCACCATGGCTTTTTCTTTTAGAAAAATAAAATTCTCCTTAGTAGAAATTTCTCATAACGTGCCACCAATAAACAAAATTTTCTTGATTTGGTTGTTTTAATAGAAAATAATTGTTAGTGTTGTTGTCTTTGTTTCAGTTTGAAGTGGGTAGAAATAGCAGCAGTTGTGCCCAACCTCTAACTTTTTAATCTAGCACAACTTACATAACAGGAAGTAGGCTGGTAAGTGGGCATGCAATGAATAATTAAGGTGTGTATATGTACATGGTGATAAACAGTAATTTCTTCAAACCACTTCTCTTTTGGTATAAAACCACTTCTGTTAAATTGTTAATGCTATTACTGTGGACAGAGACTCTTTTGTTCATGTCAAAGATGTCAGCATAAGCCTCAACAATAACAAATGACAAATGCATAATTTATTGATTCTTAAATGGCTATGTCCTTGGATGTATTTCTTATAACTAATTTGCTTGGAGACACATCTGGCTCCTGAAGATAGCATCTGTTTTAAAGAAGGTCAGTGCTATATTTTAAAGGCCGAAGAACATAATGTTTTATCTGCTGTGCTCCTCTGCTCTTTTAGCCTACAAATTCTGCTCTCAGTTTATTCTGTCTAATAATTTTTATAACAAATAAAATTTGAGCAATATGTTGTTGAGTTTTGAAACAATGATAAACATGTACACAGATACTGTGAAGATGCAAGGAATAAATGTATAGTTTTCAAGTGATTCTGTACTGTGTGAACTGATTTAAAAAATAAATTCAATTATGTTAATATTTCTTTCATTAATGCTTCTTTTTTACAAAATTCAATCAACATGTTTCAATAAATGGTGCTTGCTTGTCCAGAGCTTGTTTTATTTAGATGTGCTGCCTCTGAATGTGAGTCTAAGATCTTGCATAAAATCTGCAAACACAGAATGCTGCAATGTTTATTCTGCTATTGGGCCATGAACCATGACTTATCCCCCAATTATTCTTGTACATGCAAAGCCTGATCCCTCACATCTTTGCTTTTTTTCTGCATGGTATTTATGCCCATATATATTCCATGTGATTCCAATCAATATATCTTTGTTATTTCATCAAGTTTCCATTGAATTTTAGCAGTATTTATTTTTACCTACTTCTTGGCTGGATCATTAAAAATATAAACAAGTGCTTAAAATCAGCCTGAAGCTTACATTAAAATAGGCAGACACAAGTACAAACGATTCAGAAACTGCCATTTTAACCCTGTGATGAACAGCTAGGCACCTTTTGCTTTTATATTTCACCTTGCACCATACACAAAATGTTTAATTATTTGAGGATTAATGGAGGTAGTTTATAATTAAGCTGAAGTATGAACTGATGTCATCATCTCAGTATGATGATATACAGTTTTATGCCAAAGCACCTGTTGTTTTGGAAGGAAGCAGCTGATATCATTATCTACCCAGCCAGATAGCCTAGCTTCCTGCTGCTTAAAAAATTATCCTAAGGGTTACCTAAGTTGGGGTAATACAGCATTTACTTTTTCATGCCCAGGATAGGAGAGAATGCATAAAATTACTTTATTCTCAAAGGTAGAGGGGGAATTAGGGGGGTAGGGGGAGGGTCATGATGCTAAAACAGTTAATGTTTATTTGTGTGGAATACAAACCTTGCCATTTTTTTCATGCATGAATATACATGCAAAAAGATTTGTAACAGGTATGTAAGTAAATATATGATTGGACAAGAGTCCTTCATGAAGCACAAAGGATAAGATCCTCTGCTTTGCTGTGAACATTTTTCACCATGTGATTGACTCTGCCCATTGAATAGCAAAGGTTAACCCCAGCTGGGGGTTTCTCCTGTGTAGAGGTACTCAGCTGCCATCCTGTTCTTTGTCCCTGGTGTTATGAGAAAAAGAGGTTGCCAGGGCAATTTGGGATGGGGAAGCTCTGTTATGGTGGGCATTCGAGAGCCATGAGGTCATTGCAGCATCTGATGCCAGTGCTGTGGATTAAAGCCACATGTATGAAGCACTGAGTCCTGGATCCACAGCCAGCCTCGGGAAACCCACGTCTCCAACCATCCAAGTGCTGTTCTGACAGAGTGTGGAACCAAGCCCAGTGTTTTTAGCATGCCTCCAACTATCAGGCTTTCCTCTAAATTGTGGCATTATGCCAGAGCTGTTCATTTGGGTTGTCATCAACCTGCACCTCCTTCTAAGGAGAGCTAAAAATGCAATGGTAGCAAACACATCTTGGAAATGTTTGGCTTTCTTCTGTCTCCTGATGAGATTTTTTTTTTACCCTTCTCAGCCATGTGATGCCACAACCACCAAATTTTCCTTTTGTAATTATGCCTGATGTGTATTCTGAGCAGGTGCAATACCATATATTTGCTAGGACTGGTCATCTACATACACACAATGATTGAAAAAGCATAAGCATTTATCTTTTTGCTTCCTTCAATCCTCTTTCTTTTTTTTTTTTTTCCTCTTATGAACTACCTTTTCCCCCACTCAGTTCTTAATTACATTAACAGAATATCTCTTCACTCTTCTTTTAGGTTCTTTCCAAGAGTACTCCTAAAGCTGCCCTTTCCATAGATCTGAAGCTCTTTAAAAGGAAACAGTGACTAGTAGGAGGTACATTTCCCAGCCCTCCCCAGCTTCCCAGACCTCCTGTAGCTTGACAGATCATACCACTTAATAATATGAATAAAGCAACTTTTGACAGAGCAAGAAGTTGTGATGGAAAGAATCATGCGGTCTTTATTCCCACATCTTGCATCCAGTTTTCCTCGGGATGCGTTTTCTGTTGGTTCCTTCACAGTCATCTTAGAGAAATTATATTTCTCGAATGTAACTATTTGGACTTTAGTCTGAAGGATAGACAGCAGATTTTTCCAGTTTTTCCCCCCTCTATTTAAAAGTTACCTTATTTCATTTTCATCAGCATTTCTGGGTGGTCTTTTCTTTCTTCTGAACTATTATTGTGCCCATGATTGTGCAATGCATACCTATGGTAAGTGAAAAGAACATTTAGGTGATCTTCGATAGATAAAAATACAAAAATACACCTATTCTATTCCCTGACACGTCACCAGAGTTAACATGGCTTTCTTATGAAATTGGCACTAATTTGGGGTTTATATCTGTATTACAAACTGGTTGATATGCAAGAGATTAAAGACTGTTTTTAGGGGATTTTTCTTGAGCTTTCCATCAGATGGGAAATAAGGTGCAGGAGCTTCCTGGCAGAGGCATGCTCATTGTGGTGGTTATAATAAGGGTGTGCCAGAGATCAAATTAGTGCCCTAATGGGCTGGAGTTCACCCCGTGAGCACGGGGACATTGTGCACATTAACCATGGGCGCGTGCGGAGGCGAGAGGCTCCTCGCTGGATAGTTATGGTATTGAAAACCACAGCCACCACTGCCTTGAGTGGAGAGAGGTTTTATCCTAACCTTCTTCCTCTCCCTGTCACATCATCAAACTGCCCTGCAAATTAGGTTTTCAGAAAGTTATTTAATAATACAGAGAGCTGTACTGCCACTCTGAATGTGCAGTAATTGCCTGTGGGTAGGCACTTGTGTTTACAGCTGGTGCATTCTAAGTCTTGGAAGCTATTTCTCTATTTGCTAGACTTCAAAGGAAGTATTGCTTGCTGTTTTTCATGATACCCAGCATTGGTATCTGAGCAGCATAATGAAATGCTGACCAAAGGTAACAGTATAAATTTTTTTTCTGTACTTCTTTTCTTCACAAAATTTAACACAGTTTCTCTAGAATTAGAGTAAAAAGAAAAGTTAAAAGTTTGTATGCATTTATAAAAATGAAAAACCTATCATAGACAAGTTCATAAATAGTGACTATGTATATTTCTAAGGTAATAGAAAAATTGGAAACTGCACTGTACTTCCAAAAACAATAAAACTAATCCAAAACACAATACTAATTAATTACAAATTTTTATCAAATCCTTCCAATCTATAAGTTTCTTTTCCTGTGAAATTTATTTACCAAAACCACCTTATTTTTAAAGAATTAACTTTAAAAGTAAAGACAAAACAAAGTTAGAATTGAAATTTCACATTGAGCTAGAGGGACAAAACCATGCGTATATTTTTTAAAATGTTTTTGTACAGTTTGATCTTGGAATTATGTGGATATTTCTCTTGTAAGCTTGGATTTCACCATTGACACTTTTTCATTTCAGGATCATTAGCTGCATCAATAATAATTACTTTAAAAATACCATGGTCTTGAACATTTTCTGAGGATCTGACACAGCAGTTTCAGGAATATTTAGTGTGAACTGATCTATAGCTCATAATCTTTGACAGAAATTCCAAAGTCTCCTCAAAAAAATGTGACAAGCAATAAGCCATCTTTAATGTTTCCTGTTTGTTCTGTAGATCCTCAATTCACTGAATCAATGAAAGCTTTGTCTAAAATCTGCCAAGGAATCTCTTCAGTTTGAAACAAAACTGAGCAACTTCAGAGTGTTAAAAGTGTTATATAAAAATCTGTTTTAATCAGCTTCTCTGAATTTGTTGTCTTTGAAATTATTTTACTTCCATATACTAAAATGAGATTGTAGAGTAACCAAAATTTGTCCATTGACTTCTGCTTCCTTCTGGTCCATCACCAGTAGCTGAAGACACTGGAACAGCTGCATCAACAAAAAAGCATCCAATATGATGCTGGATCAAGCACAGCAATTGCTCTTTTGTTTTCTCTCTTGAGGATGTTTGGTTTGTATTTTACTTTTTGAAGACAAAAAGATACTTTTTGGATCTCTAGGAATGTCTGTACAAACATGCAATTCTGTCTGTACAAACATTTCTCTTCTGAACTAAAAATAAATTTATTTTACAGAAGACCTTGGGAAAAATGTGAACCAAAGTGAATCATGTGCCATATTGCTCCTTGGAATTTTAAAGCTAAATTCCTTACTGGCATATGCTGACGTAGGTCTGTTGGGTTTGATGGAGTTATTCTATCCCATACTAGCAGGGAATTACGGAGCAGCTTGGTTTTGTTACATAAATTAGACTGATGCAAACTAGATAATTAAGACTGTCAATTGAGTGATGGGGTTTGTACAATCTGATTCCTGTGAATACATGGGTTGAATATACATGATCAGACTCTGCTTTTATGTTTGGTATTATTGAATTCTGGGGAGCCAAATAACCCCTTGATTCTTTGCAGTAATGGAGAAAAGAAGGATGTTTCTCATGGGGTGACAAAAACTTCAATGATGACATCTTTAACTTTTGCATTTCCCACATAAATCAGACTCAGCCAAATCAGTGTAATCCTTTACTGACATGAAAATTCCATTTTTCAGCTCAAGCTGAAATTTCTAAGATATTAATAAATACTAAATCACTAAACATAGAATAAACCTGTAATTTCCTGGTCAGTTCTCAGCACTTTTACCTTACCTTACACCTTTCTTGTTGCATAACCAGGAAGCTGGAGCTCTTTCCTGCTGTGAAAGGGAGCAAAAAAGGAGTCCTGGAATGCAGAACACGAGCTTGACATATATCTATATAAGTAGGAATCCAGGTAGGCATCTGCAGGGAAAGGAAGTATGTTTAGAGGAACTGCTATGCCAGCAGTGTGTAGGATCAAGTCCTGGCAGATGGAAACATCACTCAGCACTGCCTTTGAGAAAACGTGTGTGCATCATCTCACATTTCCACAAAACTCTCACCAAGTATTTTAAGCAACCACAGAGAAGCAGCTTCCACCTGGAAGGACAAGGAGCTTCCATCACCCTTGTATCTAGTGCAGAGTGGCTTCCAGAGGACAACCATGGTGTGTCTGGATAGAATATGAGCCAGTTCTAACTGATTCATTAGCAGCAATGAGTCTCTTGAAGCTGTAGGGCTGCACTGTTAGTGCGGCATTGATATTACAACTATGCCAGTCTCCACTTCAGCCTGGGATTTGTTTTCCAGACCATCCAGAGAAGGAATGTCCCTTCAGGTCTTCATCTACTGCTAAGACTGATTCTGGCTTACTTCTTTTCATTACATATAGGTAAGTGATAACAAATATGAACAACATATTTTGGGAATAAAAATGCTCCTGGCCACCTCTTCTGGCTCAAAGCAGCCACCAACACTGAGATTAGAGCACAAACAATAAAGGATGATCATGTGTTAGCCATCCAGTTTCAGCTGTGTTTACTATTCTGGATCATCACACAGTTTCAGCTTTCTCTTAGGGAGCAGTGCAGGGGGAAATGAATTATAATAAAAGAGTGATCCATGTGCAGGGGAGGAAGAGGTGAGCTCACTAAAGTAGTGATGCTCACAGCTGGGAACACGTCAGCCTGATAGGAGCCAACAGGCAGATGGGAAACTGGGATCCCATACAGATCCACACCAAGAGGCCTCAGGAAGGAATCTGATACACAGACAGACCACAGAGGAGATGCACCTTCTCTAGGTTTATTCTGTCTCCTGAAGCCACTGAGAATTTTTGGAGTGAGAACTAGGTTAGAGAAAAGGATCCAGCCGGCAAAGACGTTGTGGGCAGGGTGAACAACTGTTTTTTCAGTCTGTTATTTTAACTTCAGACAGCTGATCTGAATTCCTCTGGTTTAAAAGTTCATTTCCTCTACCCTGTGTTCAAAAAAATCCAGCATTACAGGCTGAAAACCCTTTGGTTTTTCACTATAAAGAAAGACAGAATAAGCCTTACTTCACAGCTACACTTGGTTTGGCGTTGTAACTACGATCCCAGTAAACACTTGTACAGCAAAGAAAAATGAACTTTCTCTTCCTATCTTCAGCTTTCTCTGTTGTACAGACCTGAATCCTTCAACCTCTCCTGATTGATAACTGTGCCTTTCCATGGCTATTTGAGATAATCATGTGGAAAATCAGTGCAAATGATGCATGTTTAATTGGGGCACTTCCAGAAAACCTGCATATCTGTTGACCTCTCTGAGAGAAATCTGGATCCACTTTGAAAGTCAATCAGCAATTTCTGGCAGAGCCAAAGGCACTCAAACCTGAGACAGTAAGTAACTTTCATATTCAATGGCCAGAGAAAATGTAAGCCAGTCAAATTGCTTCAGCCACGACAAAGAAAATAATAAATTTCATTTCATTCAGGCAATTGGTAAAATTCATTCTTTCTTTCTTGTAAATATATTTGCAAGGATCACATAACAATCACAGCCTGAATCCCCAGTTGGCATAGGTTTTCCTCATTCTGCTGCTCAGCGAGAAACTGGCTCCGTAAACTCTTTGTGTCCTTCTTTGTGAACACCACCATCATGAGCACAGGCCAGGGCTTTACACTTTTTTGGTTTTAAACTTTGAGCCAGAGTCAGAGGAGAGAGAAAAAACAAAGCTCCAGAGAAAAAATACTGAGCATTTTCTATCTGCTCAGGTTGGAAGTAACTTGGTAGCTATTTACAAAATTAACTGTGGAGTGAGTTCTTTAAAGCAATCGCACTCTTTCAAAAACCAGTAAAATACCAGGCAGACAAAGCAAATATTATATAATTAATCTCAAATAATATTTTATGCTATGGTCATGAACTGTCAAGTGCTTCAGCAAAAGACACAGTGATACCTTTCATGCTAAGAAGCTCTCAGAAGCTACACCAAGGAGACATTTGCTATGTCCCCACCAGAGTGCATTGCATCATTGAAGCATTTGTGTGCCCATTAAAAATACATTTCTGTTTCTAGACTGCTTGTGGCAACAGGTAAAGCAGCGAGGAGAAGCTGCTTGTTTGCTGAGCCTGTCAGAACACTTCTGTGTCAACAGAGAAAATGTGTGTGCACAGCTCTAATGGGATCCCTCCACTGTGGTACCTTGTCATTTCCAGAGAGCCTTGCCCTCCACATCCTGCGACCATTTTTTACAGTCAGAATCAACATGCCTGAGTTCTTGTTTCCAACTTTCAGTAATGTTTATTATTGTTTGTCAGCAACTCAGCTCTGCTGGAAAAACCTCCTTCGGTGAATAATGAAGTCATTCCCACAGTGACTGCTGGGTTCCAAAATTTTCAGTACTCTACCTATGGCTATTTAGCTGTACTTGAGAGGCGCAGAAAATCTTACTTTTCATGGCCCATAAATAAACACCCAATACAACACTTCAGCACATTTCTAATTGTAATGCAGCATATAATGTTTCAGTGCACAATACAGATGTTTTCAGTTATTATATGAAGAGGAGACAATGATGGTTAAGTATGTGTTTGCATTATAGTCACGGCATGAAATCATTATGTTCAACTTTCCTGATCATTTTCTTCATATAAAAAAGAAAATTCTGTTTAGCTATTATTCTTTCCCACATGGAACAAGTTGCAGAAAATTCTAAGACATCCACATATAAACCACTAACTTATGGCAAAATGAAGGGCAACATTTCTGTTTAAAATATTGGGCCCTTTCCATCCTGTTTCTCTGTTGTTAATCATATACCACCAGTAAGCTGAAATGAGCCCAGGGGGTACGAGGATGAAAACAAGAGCAGAGTTGTCCTGTGGGACTTTCATACTCAGGGATAACAGCCCAACAAGCCATCTCCCTGGGTGTGTCCCTGCTGGGAGTTTCACAGGTGACTGTCCTCAGTGAGCTCCAAAGAGTTCCCTCACTGACACCAGGGTACTACTTCTTTAATACTGGTTCTCATTAGCTTTTCTCTGCCTTCAGCTCTCTCTTTCTTAATCCCCCATTTTCCTGTCCATCCATCTTGGCAGTCCTCTGGAAAGCTGAAACTACATTACAGAACCTTCTGCTGTTATTTCCTTCCTTATCTCCCTTCCAATCCGCCTAACTGCAGTAAATTATTGCTTGATGAGAATAACTCATTAGCTCACTTATAAAAAGGCCTGACTTCACAAACAGATATTTTATGAGTTCTATTTGTGAAGGCAAAAATAACTATTTTGGTTATGTGAACACGCTACATGGATACACATGGGCAGTAAATATCTAGGCAACTCCAGACCACAACTTGAGACCATTTCAATTTTAGAAAAATCAAACCTTAAAAGGAAAAAAAGTTTTGTACTCCTAGATTGGAAGGGCTGGATTTATCTGTTCAAGAGAACTTATCATTTGAGATAATTTTTGATGAACAAAATCAGATTAAGTAAGAGAAGAAAGAGTTATGACATTATTTATGAAAGTACTGAAAACAAAACAGAGTAACTAGAAGTGTTCCAAAGCCATCACTGCAGAAAGTCATACAACTGATCAAGCAAACTTTAAATCTTGTTCTGTCTCTTTTCCTAAAGTAATTATGTGAGAATACCAAGCCAGATAAAAAAAGAGAAATCAGTGTCATGGTACTGCACAAGTTTGATTTTAAGGTCAGCTAACCTGAAAATTTGTCAGTCAGGTAGAGAATAAAAGACAGCAGGCTGCAATGACATTGGGTGCATTAAATGAAATATTTCAAAAGAAAATGTGAGGCAAATGTATTCAGAGCTGGAGACTTCAAAAAACCTTCTACTTTTAGATCAGTGCTGATGATGAGAAAATTATCAAAACTTCAGATTTCATAATTAATCACATTTAAGGTCTAGCAAATTTTAACATTTCATTGAAAAAACTGTTTTACTTCAAAGATAAATTTGACCTTGACTGATTGTGAAAACTTACACATAGAGTTTAAATCCATATGCTAGAAAAACTCTGGAAAAATAAGTTTGCAGCTGTTGAATGACATGAATTAAGATTGCAGTTGAATATGCTGGTTACAGCAGATAATGTTTTTCAAAAGATTCAGTCTGATTCTAAATTCTGATTTCTAATTATAAATTACTTACAAACAAATGATTTTAAAAATGGAGTGTATTTGTAATAATTTACCAAACTAAATATGGATACTTATTTCAGTCTATTTAAGGTCCCAAGCCATGTTTCCCACACCTCTATACCATGCATTACCTCAGCTGGATGATCGATCATGAGAAAATAAAAATCTCCATGAAAAACTTTAGCCCAATCCTTTCTTCCTTCTTCAAGTGCCCTCTGAGAGCACTTGCAGGAGGTGTTCCAAACACTGCTGAATGAGAAGCAAAATTTAATGCACTTATTACCCATGTCAAACCCAGTTTGTAAGTTGTTTAAAGCAGCCTCCAATGTTTCTTGGAGTCTTTGCCTGAAAACTGTACATAAGTAACACACATATTACAAAATTCAGCACAGCTTTTCAATGGATATGGTTGAATGCTAAGCAGTAAAGAGAGTAACTTTAACCCTTTTTTTGGTTCAGAAATCAGGTTCAAATTGCTTTTATTTCTTTCACTAGTACTCAAAAATAAGTAGCTCCTGTGAACAAACATCATGTAGACATAGAGGGCTTATTGATCAAAGTTTCACTTTATGTTGATACTCTTTACTTGGCACTGTACATCAACTAATCTTCATTATAGTCTTCTTGTCACCTGACATGATGACAGAAGAAAGTAGAAGTATGTAATTATCAACATCCTTGTTTGTTAAATATTTATTTAATTAATATGTGAATGACATCTTTTCAAAGACCAAAATTAGCACAAGTGAGGGGAAAAGATGCAGTAAAGGATGGATCAGAAATTTGAAGAATGGTATATAAGAAAAGTTGTGCAGTATGGGATTATATCTCTGGGTACCAGTAAATATTTAAATCTTGCTGTTCTCCTTTCCACACAGCTACATTTGTCCCACAGTCCTTGCATCCTTGTCCTCTGATTGCCTCTAAACTTTGAAAATAATATTTTAAACAAATTCCTAGGAACCATTGTTTTTATCAGGCTTCACAAACTTCATACTGTACCCTGCATTTTAATTTTTGTATTTAGAAAAGCAGCTGGAAGCTATTTGGACAACTAACACATTGTGGTATGCTACCTGATACCGCACTGAGGTATAACAATTATCTAAATGAAGCCTTTCAAAAAGGTAGGCAAGGCCCTTTATAACACTGAGATTCCAAAGTAAAAAGGGAACACGCTCACACTAATTAGGCATTTGGTCTAACACATTAAATCCTGTTTGGGAATTTGCCTTATTTACTTTCAGGACTGAATGCAGTGACAAAATGAATGTGACAGCAAAATCACTTGGGGATATGTTGATGATCTCTACAGTCCTCTAAAAATTTCCCTGTATTACAGGTACAGGCCAATAAGATGGCCAAGAAGGTCATTCCTACCGCTAACTTTTAGGCAACCAGGCAACAGCTTTCTCAGAAGTAAACCACTGGAGAAAAATAAATCTGTTTATACCTGATACTAACACATCTCAAACATGCTAATGGTCAGGTTTCAAAATGCTTTAATTATAAATGAGGCATCTTCTTACTCAAACGTGCAAATTGACGGTGAGTTGAGCATATATCGCAGAGTATAGATTCCTCACCATCAACAACTAATAACAATTAAAAAAAAAAAAAAACCTGGAGAAAAGCAGCCAAACCATCTGACAAAGCCTAGGGCACATGTAACCCCATCACTACAAATGACTGCAGAGCTTACAAATCGAGCCAGATGCTGCTTCTGGAAGGATTTCATCTATAATATCCGAACCGCATGACAGCCTATCACAACTCATGTTTGGCCTAAAGGTGTGCAACTCTGGTGGAATGGGCAAATAATGAGAGGGAACAGGAGCAGGGCCCTAATCCTAACTGAGGAGGGGTTTTTATTGTGGTTTATGGTGTGGTGGAGCTTTTTTAAATTTGGAAATTGAATTTGTTCTACCTGCAAACACAGGCACAGATGGTGCTTCCATAATATGCTGTTATAATCGACTGATTTGTTTGCAGTGTTGCATTCAGGTCCAAATTCATGTCCAAATGCATTGAGTCTTCTGTAATGTTGTTCACAATGGGTCAAATGTGGAGAAGATGAGAATCTCCTTGGTGCATAATGAAAGATTTTGCCCATAGCCCCTCTGGCAGGTGCAGCATCTGTGTTCTGAACTCCCTTCCCCAGCTAGGCATGTGGCTGGATAGTAATTGCTGAATGAACACACTTTATGAAAGGGCTGAAAATATGTATGAGAGGGCTGCATTTCACAGAAAGGGATACTGGTAATGGTTACACAATTGTGATGCACAATTGTGGCTTCATTTCATCATTTCTGATTTCCTCTGCAAAAGATTGCTACCCAAGACTTGAGACAGAGAGAGACCAAAACCTGCCCCCTGGTACTGAGGTTTTAACCAGAGACAATCAGTTTCCTCCAATTCTGCTTCTGCTTGACTACTTTGAAGTTATCTTTATGAAAACCCTCCCTTGCTGAGCAGTCATGGCTGTGTTTACCTTCAGTGTAATCTTTCTACCAACCTGCACGACATTTTTCAACCTGCATTAAATGATACTTAGGAGGATTATTTGCATTCTGTTTAATTATTTTGCTGGTTTATTAATTAAATTTTCTCTAATAAAAAAATAATTGTGAGTTCTAAAGATAAATAAAACCATCCTTTCTTTGTGACTTTGGCAGAAAATGAATATCCATATATCAGTATATGTCCATCACCATTGGGCATATGCCTAAAACATGTTTGTTTTTCGTCTTGATAAATCATAAAATAGATTTAAGGTGAGAAACTTGCAGAACACCACAGACAGGAGATGGTAAAGAAACCAGTATTCACTATTTCCTCTATTCTGGAGACTGGAACTATCCCCACATGCACACTTTTCTTTCTTTTTATTCTTATTTTGGTTTGGGTTTTTATTTTGGTAGCCAAGACAGCTGTAAATCTTTGGTGAGGGATCAGTCTCCCATACAGTAGCACTCTGTCTGTGCACAGCAGCACACACATGGCCAGGTCTCATCAGCACTCCTGTGAAAGATCCCCAAGGTGCAGGGACACACCACAATATGGGCTTCTTCCAAACAGAACATTCCTGTCTTAACTTTGCTGATTAGGAATATGGGATGGAAACTGTCAGTGGGAGATTTGATCCTTTTGTAGTGATAGTTTAATCCATCTAGGCAACTCATAAGTTAGAGAAGGTATAAACTCCCAATTATAAAATGCATTCCACTTGCTTATATCTCAAAATAGACAATGCCTAAAATGACTGCCTCTATTCTCATGGAATCATTCTTGGAATAAATGCTAAACTTGATGGAGAGTGGGGATACCTTTGTGGTGATGCTATCATTGGAAAAGGGAATAATAACAAGCAAACATTGTATGATATTCAGACAATGGAAAAATCAAGGCCTTAATCAGCTGGCCTGATTTGTGGTATGCTACAAATCAGCTGATCTGTGTCCTGCTGCATTTGCTAAACATTTTTTTGTCTACTGTCCTTTGATAGTTCTTTAAATCCTCAAGGGTCACTCAGTCAGGGGCCAAGAAAGGAAGAGGACAGTTGTCTTGTCAAAAGTGAATCTCAGCAGGCAATCTGCCCACAATTTTGGAGGTATCAGCAGTAGTTAATTGTTGTAGGAAAACCCAGAAGCCCAGCCCTTATGAGTGAGTGCCTTTATACAGTCCTGACAGTGCAGTTACACAGACAGATCCCCACATTCTCATCCAGCTCCAATCACAAAAATTTACCTTTCTAAAGCCAGGATGCCTCAACAGACTGCACATAAGTGTCACAGCCAGACACACCACAAACCCACAGTACAAGTGCTTTCTTATTCCTCTTCTAGGGTTCAGTTAGGGCAATTTCTGTGCATACTGCTAAAACCTTTCTTAATGGCTCCTACACCAGTCATACTCTTTCTGTGATCAGATATAAGACACCATATAATCACCATCTTTGTAAACACAGTGTTTGCTGAAGAGATTGCCTTGTACAGCACATAGCCAAGGTGGCCAAAATAAGTAAAAAGGGTAGAGTTAGTGAGTGGCAATGGCACATTAATGAAGTTTCATAGTTTGTCTATGACCCCATAGGTAACAAAGTAAGATAGGACAAGAATTTTTTAAAACCTGTGCTGCAATTCCTCATCCTCATTATACCTAGTACAAATTACTTTCTGCTATCCCTAAAATCATAAAATAATTCAGGTTGTGAGAGACTTCAGGAAGGAGATTTTTATGTGTTTGCTTCTGTTGGCTTTGTAGCAGAGGATGTTACACCCTGTGCCAGCAGCCACAGCAGAAATGTTGATGAACACTAACTGCCAGCTGACTGTAGCTACTTCTCAGCTGTTCATAACCTGGAGTTTGTGAGCATCGTGTTGCATTTTAGATGTTACTCAGAGATTCAGAAGATTAGAGAGTTAAATTGCCACAGAACATAAAGATGATATCGAACACGTGAATGTTCCTCTTCCTTGTGAGGCAGACAAGGATAGGGATCACTGCGTTCATGTAAATCTTTTATTCTGCAGATTTTCTACAAATAAAGACCTCAGTGTTTGTGAAAAGAATAGAGTAAATCATGTCCATTTGGATTTTATGATGCTCAAACTGTTTAAGGAATTTTGCCATTTAAAAAGCAATTTTAGACAGAGCTAGGACAATAGATATGCCCTGACTTCATCTCACCTGTTCTCCTGAAATAGAGCAGCCATAATTCATGGACACACATTGGCACAAGGTTGTTTGTTATTCACTCTTTTCATCTGCTGCCTGATGCATCTTTGTCATGATTCATTATTCCTAACAGCTATATCAAGTGCTGCAATTACTGCACAATATAGATTTAACTCTATAATATTTCTAGATTGGAAAGAGAAAAATAATATATTAAGTGCTTGTGATATCTTTATGTATAAGGTTTAGAATCATTAAATATCTGTCACTCTTCCTTCCTCCTCAGCATCAATTACTCCACTCTGGTTTTACTTACTCCACTCTGTATAATGAGTCCCTAGAGCATGTTTCATTGCGGGAGAATGAACACATTTTTCACTTGCGGTCAGTGGGATGTGGTTAATTTGAAATCACTTAAACTATTATATCTGTCAAGCGTGGTTATTTTATTTTCAATTCACATCAGTGTTTTAGTATGCATGTCGGTTACTGGGTTAAACTGGCAGATTAATTTCCAAGCAGTCTGTTGCAATGCTCTTCTTCACTATCTTTACATGTAGGCTCTTGTTGAAACTTAATACATTCCCATTAAAATTTACTTCGGAGAAATCCACATTCAATACAAACACTCATATGATAAACAACACTCACCGTTGAGTGAAAAAGGTGGCAAGATCAGGGGACTTACAGTTTTCTCCCCCAAATACTTGTTTTTCCTCCTTGTTCCATTTTAACTTCTTTTCATATACATCATGACATGCATCTGTGGAAGAAAAAAGTTCAGTAACTAGGGTTGCTTTGACGTGCTCAGAGGGGTTTTTTTCTGCTATGTTAACTGATTGCATTGATCAAAAAAGCTGCAGGTTTCAGTTCAATGTGAGCAGATTCACAAGGGCCGTTTGGGGTTTTTCTCTCTTTTTAAAATATTGTGGTTTGAAACTTATAAATAGCCAGAATTTGAAAATGCTGAAATACTGACTTACACAGCTACTAATAACAGGGTGCTCATACAGAGAATTAGAGGAACCGCCAATGGGCTTTTTATTACAGCAATATTGTACATATTACATGAATAAATTACATTGTTGCATTATGCAGCTGCTGCATCATCAGTTTAGAGAGTAGACTGCGATCCTAAGTATTCGGGGATGCAAGCTCATTATCTCTAAACCCACTTTGGTTACAGCCACGATACAATCCCAGCTAAACAGCTTTCGCATAATGTATTGCAGATACCTTTGCATAATCAGGTACATGGCTCAGAGACGGACTGATGAGTTTAGGTGTCTAATCAAATTTACAAAAAATAGTCTCTTTCTCTGAATCAGGCAGAATCTTTCACTTGGAAAGGTTATTAGGGAAACTATATTACCCATAAAAATACAAATCTACATATGTTGTGAAACATCGCTTTTGATTTGAAAGATGCTAGTAGAAAAATATGCATTTGTATAACAACAGATCTCACTGTAAAAGAACCAACTAAATTTAAAAAAAAAGCTGTTTTTTCTTTATCTTCTTCTGATGATGACAACTGCCAGTGTTTGAATGCTGCCAAAGCATTCTTGAAACTCAATTGTTTTTATTCTCTGCACATTGTTCTCTCATGCCATCGAATAAAACACAAATTTTAACATCCTCCACAGCTGCAAATGTTTGCCTACGACTCATAGATTCATTTACATATCTTATATATTGATGCAAATATCTTTGGCTAGGCAAGTAATACTCTGTCAGTTTTGTTCATTCTACTCAATGCCTGCTTGTTTTCATTGTTTTTTTTTTTTGTTTTTTTTTTTACTTTGCTTAAACTGTGTCTATTTTCATTGCTGTTGTTGTTCCCCTTTTCTGAAAGCACATACAGCCCCCTTGTATCTTCCACCTGGCTCATAGTGCTCATCACCTCAAGGGAAATCCTGGGCCTGCAGAAGTCTGTCAAGGTTTTACAAGTAGCTTTAAGCTGGACAATGTTTTACTACTGGTCTCTTGCCAAATGAGGCTGCTTGTTGTATTGCATTTCTACAGAAATGTAAGACATTTCATAAGTGATTTCTTGAAGAGGCTCCTAAAAGCTATTAGAATCATGGAGATAATGGTGGCTTAAGGGAGGGACAAATATGTAGTGCTATATCTTTTTATGCACACACTAAAACTAAGTGGGAAAATCACACACTTTCAGTCTAAGCAGTTTTAGAATAGAAATATTCATCCTTCAAATCCCAAATTTTCATGCTATTGCTTTCAATACTTTGAAGGGATTCTAGGCAAAGGAAGATATGAGCCTAATGTGAAGTGATACATGTGTCATAATGCACATATCAGTAATGGTGCTGTCTTGGTTTGAGAGACAGGTGTCTGCTAAGGAAGGCAGGAGCCTCTCTTGGAATGGAAAATGAAAATCCCCTCCCTCCAAATTATAATTTTGAAATTAAGGGGCTCTCAGGCAAAGATATGAGAATAGGAATAACAGTTCTTTCCTAGTGTGTATAATAAAGCAAACAAACAACAACAGCTCTGGCACTGACAACAACCAGAACCACAAACCCAGTCCCAGCCTTTCAGCCATGGCACTTTCCCCTCTGCTGCAGTTCCAGGCATGACCAACAGTTCCATTAAAAGCAAAAATTCACTTTTCTTTATATGGTCTAAATTCTGCACAATTTAGATTTCCCCAAATTTAGGCTAAGACAGAATGACTCCTGCATCTCCTACACCATTCCTAAAGTGCTATCAGCTGTACTTTTTATCTGGTCAGCAACCACACATCTTTGCAGCTGAGAAGATAGAAATGAATCCTAAATAATACAACAGCATGAAGAGAAGACACCCTATGTTACTGTTAGTAGTTCACATGGTTTGGTCCACAGAGCTGGAAGTGCAGAATTCAAATTTGAATACAATGACTTGTTGCATTCTGTACTTAGGAAAATCATATAATATTATTTACATTGTTTACATTAAAAATAACTTTAATAATGTAAAAGAAGACTTTTGTTGTAAAAATATGGTCAACCAAATATTCCTGCAGAGAGACTAAGAGAGGGGAGAAATGCAAATTTGTTGATGTTGTTGACACTGCACATACATCTCTGTGGAGATGCACGTATCTGAAAACAACAAAAGTTGTTCTACATTTACAGATATGATTATCATGGACCATAACTGATTTACCTCCAAACCAAATCCACTTCAAGTGACAAAGAAAAGATCATGTCAATTTTCTCTCAGAACATACCTAGTATTTCTAGGAAAATAAAGACAAACTAAGTGGATAACCTGCTTTCTTTTGTAGAATGAAAGAGCATAGTATCTTCCCATACTAATCCTAGAAACGTTCTCTCTGTATGCTCCACTACTTTTTGGGAGGAAACATGAAAGTATTGTTGCATATAAAAGATAAAAGATAAAAGGTAGTTAAAATAGAAAAGGAACTATCCAGGTGAATGCTGCCATATTCATAAAACAACTTTGAGATATATATGTGTGTGTGTGTAATGTACGTACATGCACAAAGGTGGACAGTGTATTCTGTAGTATGCGCTACTTCAATTTTTTTATTTTTTTGGCAAAACCTTGGGTTTATTCAGCAAAATACTGTGCTGATTTCTTCAATGGTACTAGAGCAATTTCAAATAAATTTGGTCCCAAATGATGCAGTTACAAGGAGAAAGCAAGATGTTTTGTGGAGGTTTTTCATTTGTCATTACATCAAGAAATGGCTGAAGCAAGCTGGATCAGAGTCCCCTTTTGGTCAGTCATGACTTGATATGAAAAATTTTGATTGCAAGGATTGCTGTAGGCAAATGAGAACACCTTTCAGAATGGAAATGACTAGACAATCTCAACTCAACTTTCATCTCATGCAAACTGAAAAGGCAGTCAACTCAATGGTAGCTCTGATCTCTGCATGTCTCTTTAGAGGCAGTCAGTAACCAGTACTGTGAGCAGCTGTAGAAAGTGAATTTAATTTTGCTTGTGTGTGTATAAAGAAAATGTAAAGCTGATTTTTTTCAGTTCCTGAGCATAAGAAAAAGTTGGCATACACGTTGCCTGTAGTTACTGGGGCTAAAACAGTGTGTGAGGTTTTCTTCTTCCAAGCTGTAGTGAGAGATGAAGAGATCCCATATGGGCCACTAGTACAAAGAAAGCAGAGTAACAGGAAAAGAAAAAAAAATGCAGTATATAAGGGTAACAGAGGGAAATAAGATTGAAAGAACAAAACATCAACATTGTTAGTCATGAGGAACAGACAGGAGGGAGGTATTGCCTGCTGACCATGTGTACCAATGCCAGAGTTTAAAAAACACAGCATCTGTGGTATGGGATGGTGTCTCTCTAGATCTGAAAGGCAGCAGCAGATTGTTTTTATAGAAAGAAAAGGTGTCAGCAGAAAGGAAGGAGCATACACACATGGAATCATTTGCTGTAAGAAGCCATTTGAAAAACAACTGAGGAGTTGAGTGGGAGAAACATCTGTGAAACATGCAGCAGGACCACCACTAGTGCTTCAGGGAGGAGGTGGGAACAGAAGGGGATACACAAGCAGTGTTGGACATAGCATCCTGTCAGAACGACAAGGAAATGTTGTCGGTACTCTCAAGGAGATCCAACATCTTGTGAATCCATGAGGAAAAATATATGTCCTCCTTGTGAGAGACCTTGGGTGTACTTTTTATACTTTTCAAGAGGACAAATATATGTTCATTGACCAAAGTCAATTAAAGAATATCTTAAGAAAGAAATTGCATTTTTCAGGGGACATGTTGGCAATTCTGCCTACCAGGATCAAGACTTTTCTGCTGCTTTTCCTAGGCTTGGTTCATTTGCTAGTAATCCTAAATGTGAAAGTCTTAAGGGATAGCAAATTGCCACCAGGGAAAAACAACAGTTACATAGTTTTGGGGTCAGTGAAAGCAGATATGATGTATATGAGCAAGAAGGGGGCAATTCCACACCTTTTAGATGACTGGCCTTAATTTTGCAGTCCAAACTTTTTTTTGGTTGATAGTAGAAAGAAAAGTCTTCATGATATCAAGACCATATCTGAAGTCAGTTCAGCTATTCCTCATGAAGACACCAGTCTAGATGCAAAATAACCTGCCTATAATACAAATGAAAAAGAAAACATCGATCAGAGGAAAATTTGCTTCTCTGGGTTTGAAGCCTTCTTTACACAAAGCCTTTAATGACTTTTCAGCATTGCTGAGGGAATGGTGTGGGAAAGGATATTTTGTTAGCCAGCTATTACGTAGAATTGTATGGAAAGCCCATGTGCTACCCAAAGGCCTCTCAAGGAGGTCACATAAAAGATGAGTCATAATGTAACTGATTTCTACCAGATCATCCTTCCATTTTCTCACTGCAGAAAAAACAAACTATGGAATGTGAAAGCACTTTGAAGTGACTGATGATCTTGCTGGTTATTAACCACGCTGAAGGCGACCTTAGTAAAAAGTAAATGAAGGCAAATGAGTAATAGACACTCGATGGCTCATTCCAACCACTGTAAAGACAAAGCAAGCCTTTTATTCTTCACAAAGAGATATGTCCTTATTCTGTCTCAACAGGTTAATGATAGCTCTCAAGGAAGAACAATATTGAGAGAAATACTAATTGTGTACAAAATGCATACACATTTTCATTTAGGCTTTTTTTCAAAAGAATAAGTCTTTACATTAGAAATCACAGAATATTCTGAGTTGGAAGGAACCCATAAGGACCACTAAGTCCATCTCCTAGCCCTGCACAGCATCAACCCCAAGAGTCGCAACATTTGCCTAAGAATATTGTATAATAAAAAATGCTGCCACTTATTTTCTTCCTCCACAGGTTAGTAGGGTTTATTCATTAGCTTCTTTTTAAGATAATTTATGGGAAACCCACTTTTCCTAGTGAAATAGAATGTTTAAATAACTATCTCAATATAAGGGGGGAAAAAAGCTCCAGAGGAAAAGACCGATTGTTCAGAAAGAAGCAGTGTCTGCCTGTAATAAGTTCCAGGTCATTTTTCTGCCATCAGTGGCTAGAAAATATTGTTTTAAATTAATTACAATTAATTTGCTAGTTTTAATGAATTTTTGATTGAAGAATCTCTGACTGAAAAAAATCCTTTCTTCTTAGCACAACCTTTCTAATCACTTTTTAATTATTTTTATATTATCAAACAGCTCTTCAAAATCTGACTTTGTCTAAAAAAACCAAAGTTAACAAAAAACACAATGCAAAAAAAATTGCAATTTCCTGTTATTACAGGTTTTTTTGTTATTTTTTACATATTGTTGGCCAATGTAGCATTGGTTATACTTCCTTTCATTGTTTTTATTGTATAGACATACATTCTGTGCATCCTTCCATACACCTAGCTTTGGAAACTGAAAACCTGCTGCCCTGGTGCTCAGTGAGCAAATCCAATTCACAGTGGGTCCTGAGGGTTTGGGAGCATCAGGCCATGGGTTGTGACTCACTGAAATCCTGATTTAGGAGAGAGGTTTGTCATCTTGCACATCTAAACCTTAATCCACAAGCCTGGCACTGCACACTGATCTTGACAGGAGCAGAGCCAGCTTGGCACTTGGCAGATTCCAAAGTTCTGCCTCCTGGAGATTAGATGGCTTGGCACAGTGAGAACACAGAGGTCAAACTACGATGTTTGCCAAAGGAAAAAGAACCTCTCATTTTCCAACTCTATTGCTGCTCCCTGGATAAGCATTTTTGGCCTTTTGCCTTGGTTTGAAGGCAAGACTTGTTAGGATTTAGCCTGAGGGACCTGGTTTACTGTTGAAGGTCAAGCTAGATTTTGACTGTTGTGAAGCCCTGATATGGTAAGGTCATATGCTTTCTCGTTAGGGCTGATCTCTCAAGGCTCTGAGGAACTCCTGGGATGTCATCAAGAATGGAAATTATTGCACACCTTGCTGAAGCCAATTCCTGATGGCCTTTATGTTCCAATTTTGCAAAATATAGACAATTTTGCCTGAGACTGCAGCAGAACAGAACATAGTATTTTCATTTCATATAGGATTTCAGAATATGAACACTTGGATTTTTTCCCAGCAGTATACTTTGTCTCAACTACTACTCATTATATGTATATTTAATCATCATGTATATTTTTAAACCAGAAACACTTAGACTCTAAAAATGCTGAAACCAGATATATTTTAAAGCATTTCATTCTCAATGAAACAGCAGATTCTCAAGAAACACAATCCTATTATCATTTTTCTTACAACTTTTCTTTGTCATGCATCAGTGGCTGTTTATTGTTTAGTTTTGCTGGAGCTAACATCACTATAGCAAGGGTGCTTTTCTACTCTGAAAACTCTCTCTGACTTCTGGTTACTCAGTGGCACAACCAGCACTGGACATATTCCCCAGCACCTGACACCCTGAAAAAAATTACACTTTTGCCTACCAACTTTTGTGGGTCTGCACAGAGCCAAGGCTTCAGTAGCAGCACAGGAATCCTCTTTCAGTTTGCTGGCTCACACAGCTGTGATTTGGGTATTGCTGCAGTGTGATTTAACTTTTATCCCCTCCTCAAGTCAGGCTGTCAAGGGGAGCACCATTTCAAATGCCTCTGAATTCACAGGGCTCACCCTGTGCCAGAGCCGTCCTCCCTCTTTGTGGTGTCTTGTATGAAAACAGAATTTCTCAGAAACAGCCAGCTGTTTTGAAGCAAAGTGTAACAAAAGAAACTCGAGCTCACCTGTCTTGTTGCAGCAGACTGTGCAACAGAGTGAAAGTTTTACCGGCAATCACACCCACAATTCCTCCAGAGCTCCAATACCACATTTGTCATCCCCATACTACATATCAGCTGCTCAGTTTTTCATCGCTGTGGTAGTGCACTGGGATTAATAATACAGTTGCTCTTGCAGAAGAATCTTACAGAATCCTTCTTTGCTCAAACATTAGTGCAAGCAGCCTTCTGATTGCAAAGGTAAAATTTCTTTTTTTAATTAAATCAGACCAAATTGGCTTTTGAGCAGCAGTGAAGACTTTTTGTTTCATTTCTCAAGTTTTGAAACATGTTTTCTAAAGTTTTGATTGAGGATATCTTGACTTCTATATGGTTCTCTCTTTAACAGACTGAGCACCAAGGAGCTTCCGTCACTACAAAGAAAACATTCCCAATCCCCTTCTCTACTGTCAAACCCTGTAAAAACAGAACGAGTCAGCAATCTAAGGATGCTGCCTGAAAAACTCCTAAACAAAGGTTTAGTTCCTGGAGTTTAACATGACAAATTGTATGCATAAAATCTCTCATAGATGTAATTATGTGATGTCAGAGCAGGAGAATTTTTTCTCTCAATTTTTAAATAATGTCCAATACTATCAATACCAATACTGAGTAAATTCACTTCTGTAAAAATTGAGTGAATTCAAGTAAGTAAATTTACTTCCGTAAAAATTATGCTTACTGGAAATCCTTGTGATTTTTATTGCCTTTGCTCAGTATCACTTTGCAGTGTCATTAAGGATTCTTGACATTTCAGAATTCAAACATTCAATTTTTCCATTTTACTAAATTTTTAATCTCTTTCAAAATTATTTCATTCTAGCCTATTGTGTCTTTTATATTTGCTAGCATCAAACCTGAAAAAATACCACTCCCATTATTGCAAGAATAAAAAACTTGCAAAAAATAGTCTACCCAAAATGTTGTTTTGACAAAATATAATACCAGGAAAAGTACAGGAAAGACCAATATACTTCATTGCATCTTTGAGAAAATGTAATTTGCGTAGAGAAAAGTAGCTACAATAGAAATCAGGCAATAAAAGCATAGAAATAATGTCTAAATAAGCATATCTGGATAGGGCTTTGCTCTCCTTTTGTAGCAGGATATGGAACAGCAATACAGAAAAAGCAGCCAAAACAGTAAAGGAACCAAGGACCTCAGTTATTAAAAAGGGCTAGACAATTACTATCTGCTTATATCTTTTAAGGTAAAGATTAAAAGCCAAAGAGGGGCCTCAGAAGGCTGTGAGGCTCACTGGAATCAATGGGAAAATGCATGCACATCTGAGGGCAGGGCTTGGCCTGAGCAAGGGAACCTCACTGAGAGAAATTGTTCTGCAAAGGCATCAGAAAGGATCAAAGCTCTTGCACTCCTTGAGTTCGTGTCAGCCACAGAAAGAGAGCAGAAAGGAAAGACAAGGATGGTCCAAGAACAAGAGGAATTGAGGTGAAATGTCTTTGTACATACTATCATTGCAGAAATAAATTATGGAGAAGGGGGAAAAATACAGTTAATATAATGTCTTGTAAAGGGAGAGAGCAACTTTCAGAGCAAAAAGTTCATTTTGGAATGTAGAGCTGCAAATGCAGAGGATGGGGCAGAATGAGCAAGGCATCCCATCCTCCTTCTGCCAAAAACAAACAATCCCTCTTTCTTGTGTCATCAGCATTTAATCAGGTATTAAACATAACTCAAAGCAATTTCTGTGTTTCCTCCAGATCAGGAAGGACATACTCTGTGAGAATTCAGCATTTCCCTAAACCAGCAGTGCACTGTGCAGGACTCAAGCTCCCCAAATGAGATTTAAAGGCGGAGAGACCTTTAAAATGCTGCGGTGGCCGTCGGGCGAACGCGGCGGCTGCAGGACCGATGCAGCCACCGAGGCTCTAAGCTGACATCAAAGGGGAAAAAAATCAGCTGAAATGACAGCAGCAGCTGCAGCATCCGCCTCTAAATTAGGCTGTGTTTCAAAGTCTGGACTAAACTGCTAAGCAGTATAAAGACCCAGGAGGAAGGCTGCCCAAGAAAAAGAGTTAGATTTCTAACCTAGCACATCAAAGTAACACATGCTTAGAAGAGCAATAAATGCATATGGCACACATTCACATGCTGCCTAATTGCAGTGGGCTCGTGAAGCCAAGACAAACCTTCAGCTGATTCCTACTTTTAGAGAGGATTTGAGTCCTTTTTGAATGCAGAAAGCTGACACAAATTGGTAGCAGATTAGAGTCTGGCATTGTGATAATGCATCCCATAATTTCAAAAGATGGCCATTTTTCATATCATAAGACACCTTCAAAATACTGAGCTCCTTATTAGATAATTTATACATACACCAGATTAGAGAATATCCACAACATAACAAATTAAGAAAACCTTTCTCTCAAAATTCAGAAATAGATTAGAAAACCACCAATTTCACTATTAATTTACTTGCACATAAATTTAATAATGCAACTGGGAAGATTGAGAAATACATTTTTAAATGATATACAGTGCTGAACGTTTTAGCACCAAAAGTCCTTGATTTGGGAAAAATGATGCATATTTTGGTATGCATTTTTATTTTAGTTTAGTCTGTAAATCTAAGGAAAATATTTGCAATGTTATTGATGATGTGCAGATTTAGAAGTAACAAGAAATATGACTGAATGCTTGGATACTTTGTTATATACACCAAGCATGCTGACTACAAAAAACTGCACATTTTTGTAGTTGTAACAATATGATTTGATCTCTTTTTGCATTTCCTGCAAGGTAGCAGAAGAAAGTCAGTCATTCACTTGATATGTTTATGAAAATTCCTTTGATATTGTAGCACAATGGTGGATTTTGTGAACAAATTCAAACTTAAACCTTCCTCACTTGTTTTTAAGAAACTGTAAATAAGTATTTAATATAAGCACAAATAACAAACATAAAAACCATGAAATATACCTAATTGTCTACCATATAATTCTCTCCAAACCTCTGAATCTTGCTTTTATAGCTTTTAATTAATACACATTTCTGAAGAGTTAAAGTTGCAAGAAAGAACAACCATCTACATTGTAATCTCTTTACTTGTTCATTAAGAAAAACAAACCCACCAGAAATTATTTAATAACCCTGACACAGTGTCTTTTATGCTTATAGACTTCTATCAGCTTAAATGAATCTGTTTGAGGACATCCACATCAAATACAGTAAATAGAGCATTTGAGAAAGCAGAAGCACAAATGTCTAGACATATCTTGTACTTATAGGATGCGTTACCTCACTTAAGAGTCAAGTGACAAAATATATCTGTTGAAATTATTCATATTGAAATAAAAATTACTCAGAAGCCAACACTCACACACCTTGAGAAAGGAAAGGAATATAAAGCAAATTAAGGCCAGGTTCTTACTTTAAATTTTCCAGATTTTGTCATTTGTGCAGTAGATATAAAACCATGCTGTAAAATGAAGTAAACTTGGACTGTCTGCAGCCTCTGGATGTCATGCAGAGGAGCCTGGAGAGGTGCAGTGGGCACCACAGGTTTGGTGCACAGGGAATCTGAAAGCACAGAAATCAACACAGCCCCTCTTAAATTAACTCATCCTGACTACTTGAGGGCATTCACCTGTTTCAGCAATTACACCCAACCCAGAAACAGTGTGGTTTGCTACTGCTTAGATCACTTCTTGTTCTTTGTTTTGGTTCACTTTGATAAAACTTATTTAATGCTACTGTTTGTGAGCATTTAGGAGGATGGATATTAAAAACCCAACAATTGTGTCTCAGAAAGGATTGGAAACTTGCAGTGCAGACACATTGAACACTCAGAGAACAACACAAGAGCAAATAGTTATGTGGTGGCCAAAACAGACAACTTTCCTGGTGTGGAAATTACAAAGGATAAAGTTTTTATACTGTGGGAAATGGAAGACCATAAAAGGCCAAACACAGCAAAACCCCTTTTATAAATAAAACACAAAAATACTGGATCTGTAGTATGTACTGATAAAGGAAATATTTCTGAAGTTATACCATAATGCTAAATGTGTTATTTGTGTCAGGCTTTTCTGACACAGAATATTGATATTTTGAATGGGAAGATTTTTAATGTAGTTTGGTAGAGTTGTAAAAATGACTGTGTTTCTCAGTGAACCTTTTCCAGCAGCCTGAAGAGTATCCAAACACAATTGGCATAATTTTCTAAAGGTAGCCTTACTTCTATGCTATTTATATTTTATTCTAGACTATTTCTAATTTAAATTCTGGAAAGAGGGCAGCTGAAGAAGTAAAACCATTGTTTTCTATTTTTCTAACAAAAGTTCACCTTACCTTCCCAATCTGCTTCAGGGATTCTCTTGAAATCTCAGAGTTTGGAAAGAGATCCTCTGCAGCCTTAGCAGTTTCCCTCTACTTCCACCTGTGTTATTAACTTTCCCATACCAACCCCAAATGAGCTTAAATATAGACTCCTCTACATCTAATGAGCCATAATTAGCTCATCAGCTTCTGACAAGCCTAAATAGACTTGTTAGGGAATGACAAGTCTAGTCTATCTCACACTGGAATGGGTGTCATCCCTCCCACTCAACCTCCAAGGCAGCAAACAAATCTCTTAGCAGCTCTTTGCAGGGTTTCCAGTCTCCTCCAGGACCCCAAAAGAGGCAGCCTTTTCCAGTTTGCAGAGATTAACACAAAAGTGACCTGGAGAAGAAGGAGACTGTAGAATTTATTGGTGTGATGTGTTACCTTCTCACTTTCTGCCCGTCTAGATAAAGAAGGGACTGTGGTGTTGGAGGGAACAATCTTAGACGTATTTCTTTAGGCTGATTCCACAGTTGCCAGAGCCAAAATTAGTTCCTCAGCTTCTGATGAATCATGCTGATGGTACTTATTTAAAATGTTAATAACTCTTAAAATAATAGAAGTCTGATCTTATCTTTATTTCTCTGCACTTCAGCTCAACTAGAAGAATCCAGAGAGCAAAAATCTATTCTGTTTATTCCAGATTGTTTACTTATTTATTTAGCTAGGGAAAGCAAAAATGGCATGGATTAACAGTTCATTGGAGCTGCTGATATATGTCTTTCCTGTAAAGGAGAACCATCATGCCTCAAACAAAGGATCCTGCCACTTTTGGAAAGTGTCAGTTTTTCCAGGTGCATAATTCAAAATTGAAACTTTGGAGCCTTCACCAATATTGCAATGTTTGAGAAATGGGCAGACCCATCATTTAAATAGCACATGCATTGCTGTTATGTTAAATTTATTTGTATACATAAGTCTTAATAGTGACCCATCTACTTCGGAGTCTATGCAATTTAGGTGCTTGTCTGTCTAGATTCTATTTCAGGATCTGGTTTCTAAAGAAAGACACTACCTCAAAAAGCATTGCTTGGCTGGCCAGAGCCCCTCCTGAAGCACTGCAATACAGGTTCCATTCCCTCCTGTGCTGGGAGGCATCCTCAGCAACAAAGGTATACTAGGTAACGTTGTTCTCCTTGCCCTGGGGGAAAAACAAACAAACAAAACAAAGAAAAAAGAAAAAAGGAAAAGAAAGAAGGAAAAAGAAAGAAGGAAAAAGGGAAAGGAAAAGGACTGAAAATTCTTTTAGAAAAATCCCACATCGCAGATTCTTCAAGAATGAGTACTTGTTTGACAAAATGAGAAGGCCACATCATCAGTAGGTTATTACAACATCTGGGATTTTCAGAAGCCACTTGAGGATCTGGGAGTTGGATACCTCTGGAAGTCTGTGTTAAATTAGCAGCTTAAGCACTATTGGTCTACTGACTTGAGTGCAGCAATGCAATTTTCAGCAGCTGAGTCAATGCTGAGTGCCACAGAAAGCCTGTAGAGAAATTTAAATTCCTGCTCTGATAATAAAATGGATCTGAAATCATGAAACTGCAATAAAATTAATATGATTCTCATATGCTGTTTTAGCAGTTATTACATCTCAGTTTCTGAAAAATATCTGTCTTTTGTTTCTTGTGCAGTAGGATTCTGCCCTAGGAGAATCTTATCACCAAGTTATAAATCTCTGAACCCAGAGAATTTCAACAGAAATATTTATTCATTCCTAACTAGTTTGAGTTTAACAGTAACCCTGTAATTAAATTGTGTTTTTTTCACTTTTCCCTTGCTGTTTGAGAGAGAATGTACTCAGCTCTTTGGTATACAATGAGAACTAAGTGAATGCTAATCTATTCTAAACTCAGTGGATTTGAAGGAGAAAATAGACTGATTTTTGTAATTGTTTTCTTAAATAAGACTTTCAGAGAAAAAAAAAAACCCACCTCAGAACAGTACCTTCACATCTTTATCCGAAATTTCAAATAAAAATTCTGGTTTCATTACTGAAACACAGAATAGCAAATGTTCCTGTCAGATTTTAATTGAATCACCTAATGCATTTCAAAATATTTTTTTTTATGAAGTCTTCATTTATAAAGTCAAAATTAATGAAAGAATGTGCCTTCTGCTCTCACAAACTACAAGCTGGCTATGTATGACATGTTCTGTGCTACTGTCATCCCACACTAGGCTAGCTAAATTACCACAAAGCTGAAAGTGCTCCCTTGAGGCCCCAAATAAGGTTGGCTTGCTCAAGTACTGCTTCTTTTTTTATTGTTGTTGGGTTTTTTTGAGTGAACATGAGCTAGGCAATGGGTCAGGCACGAAGAGGAAGGCACAGTTCTTGGGACATGACCCTGGTACAGGGACACAAGCACCAAAGCAATGGTGGGAAGGGGTGGGAGTGTCTTCAGCCAAATTTGGAAAGCCACATTTGACATGTTGTCTTGCCCCTGATCACGAGTTGCCCTGCAGAGCAAGACAGTCCATATGTTTTTTGGAAAAACAGGAGCACCAGAGAGGTGTAGACAGGCTGGGGTTGTGTGGGAAATGCACAGACACTCAGGTTTCCTGTTCCATTTGTTCAGACCTGCACACAAAGACAGCACTTCAACCAAAGAATCACTGTTGACCAAAATGACCTGTTAGTTAGGGACGTAGTGTGATGGTCACTGGGCCCCCTAGTGTACTCTGGCCATCAGAAAATTTGTTGAATTGACATTTTTAATCCCCTCCCACACCATGACAGATCCAGGAACACACATTTCCCTTCCTCACTACAAAACCCTCTTTTAGGGCTGCCAGGACAAGAGGATTGCTGTATAATTCCTGTGAATCCTTCATGCCAAACATTGTTCATTTAAAGGGTTCAGACAGACAGAATTTAAAAGTAACATGGCTCTAGTGAATGTTTTGTTTTGTTCTTGTGAGTGGAATAATAAATTACTGCTTTAAACTCCTACCTCCATATTTTAAAAGTCAGGCAATGTGACAATGAAAGTAAGAAGCATCTGATGAAGAGGTGTGGTATCTATAGAGGAAAAGCTACATTATATACAACTTTCCTACTCAGCATTATACACTCTGGAAAACTGGTTAAAACTGGTACACTGAGACCAGAAAAATGCTTTCAATAACCAGGATCAGTAAGTGTATGAAAGCACAAATCTTCTGGGAATATTGGAGAAGACAGACAACACTGGCCTTTGCCCTAGTAGAAAATTAACCATTTTTTCTTGAGCAAAGTACAAGCAAAGAAAATCTTGTTCTAACACAAAAAAGCAGGAAAGAGTGCATGAACCTTCTCTGCAAAAGCCAGGGAAAACATGAGAAGCAGAAAAGCAGTCTTAGCAGGAGCCTCAGAAGCTTAGGCTCACACACAATGTTTTAGATACCCTAAGAGTGAAAGGCTCCAGGTGAGATCTTTTCCCCACTAAGGTCAAGGACAAAACACCTTCTGATTTTGTCCTCAAGATCTTGATGTTCTTCAAACTGAAGTGTTAAAAACAGAAAAATCAATATGATCAAATTTATTTACATAACCCATGTATTTGCAACATATGGGTGTTTTTTTGTATATTAAAGATGCTTCAGGAACTAGATAATGAGCCACAACATTCATTTCACAGGGCACAATGGTATCAGCTAATAATAAGGAGTCTAGAAATGAAGATTTCTGGGGGCACTGAGTTAACATAAATGTTTCTCAGGATGTCCTATTTGTAAGATTGCCTTTTCCATTTGCAAAACTTAGCAGTACAATTTAAAGACAAAGAAAGATCTATTACAATACGCAAGGTTTTTGCCCTTGCTTGTGAGTTCTTTCTTTATGCAACACTAACTCCATAAGAAAAACAGTACCTTGCTATATTGAGGGAAGTAAATTTTATGACTTCCTGAGCATAACTGAGATGTCTGGATCGATGCATAAATTTAAACACTAAATTTAGTAAGTAGAGTCTTACTCTCTAAATGTACAGTATTTCTATATCTCTACAGCGTGTCTTGCACTCAAAGTTAGTAGAAGCTTTTCTGGAGTTGCAATGACACAGAATAATAAATTCAGATCAAGGGCTTGGTTAAAAAATATGTAGAAATTAGTATTTCTTTTCTCTCTCTCTCATGATAACAAAAAAGCCCAAAATGCTGCCTTAATTATCTAGAAATAATACTAATAAAGCAATGGAAATAGGTAATAATAAGGT